ATCTACAGATATTAACAAAGACTTCGTTGAAAAGGAAGTCTTGAGAAATTTCAAAGCATCAGTATCATGTATCATTCTCTCTGACCACAGTGTGATTAAATTAGAATATAATTATTGATGTGTTTGAATTTACACTTGCCATTTCATTTGTTGTTTTTCTTTGGTCACTCTGTTTTTTGTTTCTGTTTCCCATCTCATGCCTACTATTTACTTTTTCAGAGCCCTGAAGTAGCTGCTCCACACATTCTTTCCAGGTTTTATGGCTGCAGTCACTGGGAAAGACAGGGTAGAGTGCTTACTTTATCTTACCCAGAACTGAAATCGGTTAACGTGGTGTACAACCTTTTAGAGAGTCTTTTCTTCCTTTATACACACACATTCACACATATGCACACACACACAATTTTTGGTAGCCTAAATTTTTCATTTAATGTTATGCCAAAAACATGTTTCCAGGCCATTCGTATTTTTTACATTGTTATTTCGGTCAGTGGCATACAATCCTGTTGTGTAACTCTTCTACAGTTTATTCAACCAGTCCTTTTTTTTTTTGTTTGATATTTAGGTTATTTGTTATTTTTAGTTTTGTAAAATGCTTTAGCAAACATATGTAGGTAAGTCTTTGCATACACCTCTGCTTATTTCTTTAGGAAAAATCCTTTCCAATTTATAGAGTCAAAATTTGCGAGCACTTTTAAGGTTTTTGGCATAAAATGGCTAAATTACTTGGTGAAAGGTTTGTAACAATACTTTATTCCAATCACATTTTTAGTCCAATGCTGTTTTTTATTATTAAAAAACATCTCTTAAACTTTTATAGGTGGAAAATGCTATCTCATACATTTTATTGCTAATTGGGATTTCCATTTTTTACCATTTTCTTTTTATCACTTTTTTTGTATAGGAAAGCTAACTTTTATATTTTGTTAGCTGACCAGTATTCAGTATTTTTTAGTCTCTTCTTTTGGAGCTTCTATATAAAAAGTACTGTCATCTTTGTGAAATGACTTTTTTCCCTCCTTTGCAATACTTATACACTAATTTCTCTTTTTTCCCTTTATTTCATTGTCTAGAACTTCTGTGACCATCTTAAATAATACAGTATCACCAACTCACGTCTGTTTTTTTTTAGCTTCTACAGTAATTGCCCACAATTATTATCTAGTTACTAAATCTGATAAACATTTTTAATTCATATTTTATTGGGCCTGTCTATAACATTGACAATCAAGATTTTTTATTCTTGCCCTTTTAACAAACTTTTTATTTTGAAACAATTTCAGCATTTCATAAAAGACAAGAACATTCTAAAGAACTTATTTTCCCTTTAACCATTTGAGCATAAATTTCCTATCTGATGCTACATAATGCTTAAATAAATTTTACACCAAAAACTTGACTAAGATGTTTTTATGTACTGTAACCAAGTCATCAACCGTGGAATTTCTGATTATGAGCAACTTGGCTTCCCAGTGACCACATCAAGATGAATCAATTGCAGATGGTGTCTCTTTATAACCAAAAAATTTTGATACATGCCATTTAAGACTATCAGAGAAATAAATAACATATAATCTTTTTTCTCTAGGATTTCACAGTTTATCAGAGAAGATAACCAAACATATACACAAGCAAATGACTAATAGTAGCATAAACCCAAGAAAAGTCATAGAGGCATTTCTCTTTAATGTTGAGGTATAGGATGGAGGACATTGGAGAAGACAATATAAGGCAGAGGAAAATTATACTGCACCTGAACAAGAAGTGTGAATGGACAAAAAGTATTCTAAAAAGGAGGAAGAACACGAGCAAAGTTAGTGAAAATTTAGTGTTTTCAACTGGTCCTGTGGACATAGATGTATGTTTGGAAGAAGGGGTTATATGAGGTATGGGGAGAGGTAGATAATAAGAATTTCTGGAGAAAGGTTAAGTAGCAGGCTGTTTTAGAGCCATCTAATATTACATCTTGTAAGGTCTCATCCTTAGTGTGACTTTCCATTTTCAGATGCTTGTGGAGTAGACCTGGATGATTATTATGTTATTCGAACAAATACAGTCCCAGGGAGTCTCTAAGTATGGAGTGATGAGAGCTATTAGATCTGCTTGACACTATCTTGTAGCTTGCATAGAAGCAAGTTACTTTGAGGGATTATAGAAACAGTGTGTCATTTATTCCACTGATAAGTTTCTGTTACTTATTTTGACATTGCATTTTTAATAAGGAAATAGAAATAGTCTTCTACAGAAGTAGTTCTTTTGATATTTGTTTCTTTTACTTTGGTGAATTGGCTTATTCTTCTCAATTTGTATGTCAGTTTTATAATACAAAATGGAAAGAAAAAAATATATATTATTTTGAGACAGAGTTTCACTCCCATCACCCAGGCTGGAGTGTGATGGTGCAACTTTGGCTCACCAAAACCTCCACCTCTGGTGCTCAAGCGATTCTGCTGCCTTAGCCTCCCGAGTAACTGGGACTAAAGGCACATGCCACCACACCCAGTTAATTTTTGTAGTTTTGTAGAGACGGGGTTTTACCATGTTGCCCAGGCTGGTCTTGAACCCCTGAGCTCAAACGATCTGCCTGCTTCAGCCTCCCAAAGTGCTGGGATTATAGGTGTGAGCCACCATGCCCAGCCAGAAAATATTTTTAAAAAGATGAACAATCCATCAGTAGTGTTCTATCAGTTAAAATACATATTTTATGTTTCTATTACTTTGCATTATATTTCTGTGCTATTTTTGATACTGTTTTAAAGATAATAAAAACTCATGAACGCTTACGTGGTTTTTAAGAGTACTCTATTGGCTGGGCATGGTGGCTTATGTCTGCAATCCCAGTACTTTGGGAGGCTGAGGTGGGCGGATCACGAGGTCAGGAGTTCGAGACCAGCCTGGCCAATATGGTGAAACCCCATCTCTACTAAAAAAATACAAAAATTAGCCTGACGTGGTGGCACGGGCCTGTAATCCTAGCTAGTCAGGAGACTGAGGAAGGAGAATCACTTGAACTCGGGAGGCGGAGGTTGCCATGAGCCGAGATCGTACCTTTGCACTCCAGCCTGGGCAATAGAGAGAGAGAGACTCCGTCTCAAAAAAACAAAACAAAACAGTTCCCTATTCATGACAGGTTTTTGAGAAATAGGGAAACCAATATTAGTCATGGTCACTTGACTTCTTGGAAACGTATTTATTTTTGAGAAGGAGCCTTGCTGTGTCGCCCAGGCTGGAGTGCAGCAGCGCGATCTCGACTCACTGCAGGCTCCGCCTTCTGGGTTCACGCCATCCTCCTGCCTCAGCCTCCTGAGTAGCTGGGACTACAGGCGCCCGACACCACACCTGTCTAATTTTTTTGTATTTTCGGTAGAGATGGGATTTCACCATGTTAGCCAGGATGGTCTCCATCTTTTGACCGCGTGATCCGCCCGCCTCGGCCTCCTAAAGTGCTGAGATTACAGGTGTGAGCCACCGCGCCCGGCCCTATTTTTATTTTTAAAAATCTGCGTTGAGTAGTAATAACATGGGGTTATGTACATTCTAAGGTTAAAATGTTGATACTTAAAATTTCTTTTGGAAGTCTCATTTGTTAAGAATTATTTTAGCATCTACTCATGAAATAGTAATTGTTACTTTAAATCTATTAATATTTTGAACATTAATTTTGTAGCATGTGATAATTGGCACTCTAAAAGCTGCTAATAGTTTCTATATAGGAGAAAAGCTCGAATCTAAGTTGTATTACATTTCTTTCCTATTTGCATCATTGGGAATGAATGAAGGAGTTGGGTTTTGCAAACATGTTATGGTTGAATAGATTTCAATAAGCTTTCTCCCAGCAGTCTTTAGTATAGGTGTTAACAATGTCAGTTGCTGACAGAAGTTGATTCTGTTTTGTCCAGTAACATTCTGGGTTAAAGAATACAACCATATGGTTATTTCATGAAATAGCTAAAATTTTAATTACCTTTTAAATAGTTTCCTTTAATAGTGGAAATGCATTACCTTTTAGTTAGCTTTTTACAGTGGAAAAGATTAATTTTTTTTTCTCCTGGCTTTTAAAATGCTTTTTATAAAGTGTTATTTATATTTTTAACTAAATTACTGAATAATGTATCCATGTACACACCTACGTGAGAAACGTAAGTGAGATTATGAAGTATTCCACAGTAGCATGAAATTAAAAGAAAAAATTTGGAGATTCTAAGCAAGCCATGAAGAAATAGAATGTTCATTAATTACTTTTAGTGTTTTGAGTTAACTAGTATTTCTGTTTCTTTTTCTTATTTCCCTGTGTTCTTATTCTACTTTTATACATTCTTCTTCCTTCCTTCCTTTTGTTTTTTCATTTTTCTGTCTTCTTCATGGTAGTATTTAAAAAATATTTCTTTAACTCTTCCTGTCTACATTTTCTTCATTCATATTTTCCCCTCTACTCTATTTTAACATTAAATATTAGTAAGTGAATAGAGTTGAATTCATTATGATGGTCATGTTTCCTCTATCCCAGGCATAACTTTTAAATATTTTTATGGCTAAACTAGGAAGAGTTGATGGTAGCTGATTTAAAAAGAAGCTTAAGCTTAAAGAAGCCCATCTTTTAATATACTGTATAATCAGCATTTAGTAACATTGTTTCATTTTGGAAAATATTTACATAATACAATAAGCAAAAATCAAACAAAGTACTTGACGTATAGGATAATCATTGTATGGGATCTAGTATTATGTTATCAAAAATATATATGGTCTTTGTGGTTTCTCTTAGTGTGTGAATACTTCACTGTGGAACTTCTTGATAATGACATTTGTTGGGCTGGATCTGCTACTTACTAACTGTGTCACTTTGGCAAGCCTTTTAACCTATCTGAACTTTAGTTTCTCTTTGGGAAATATGCTAAATAATACCCACCTTTCTCATGCATTAAGTTCAATAACATTTTAAGAAAAATTATTTACTGAGAGATTTGTGGCTAATTAAAATCTTTTTTTCTATTTTATAGGTTATGTGCAGAGTCTGATTAGACGAGTTGTAAATAATGTAAACATTGTGATAAATAATCTCATATTAAAATATGTTGAAGACGATATCGTTCTTTCAGTCAACATCACTTCTGCAGAATGTTACACAGTAGGTGAATTATGGGATCGTGCATTCATGGATATTTCTGGTGAGTAAATATCAAGAATACTGTATATTTTTCCATAATTGAAACAATTGCTTTAACTCTTAACCTTTCTTTGGGCCAACTGACTTGCTGGTAAATGTTATCAAATCTTCATGCCTCCAGTGTGGAAAAAGAATGCACATATACAAAATGTTGCATATGATTACGGGAGGTTAGGAGACACTCGAAATTCAGAAATCTATACTTGTGGGGGGTTTTTTTTTTTTGTTTATTTTTGAGACAGGGTCTGGCTCTGTTGCCCAGGCTGGAGTGCAGTGGTGTGATCTCAACTCACTGCAACCTCTGCCTCCTAGGCTTAAGCAATCCTCTCACCTCAGTCTCTTGAGTAGCTGGGACTACAGGCACATGCTGCCATGCCTGGCTTTTTTTTTTTTTTTTTTTTTTTTTTTTTTTTTTTTGAGACAGAGTCTTGCTCTGTCACACAGGCTGGAGTGCAGTGGTGCGATCTCGGCTCACTGCAAGTTGCACCTCCCGGGTTCACACCATTCTCCTGCCTCAGCCTCCCGAGTAGCTGGGACTACAGGTGCCCACTACCATGCCTGACTAATTTTTTGTATTTTTAGTAGAGATGGGGTCTCACCGTGTTAGCCAGGATGGTCTCCATCTTTTGACCTTGTGATCCGCCCGCCTCGGCCTTCCGAAGTGCTGGGATTACAGGTGTGAGCCACCGCGCCTGGCCAAATTTTTGTGTTTTTTTGTAGTGACAAGGTTTTGCCACGTTGCCCAGGTTGGTCTTAAACTCCTGAGCTCTAGCAATTTGCCTGCCTTGGCCCCGCAAAGTGCTGAGATTACAGTTATGAGCCACCATGCATGGCCTGTACTTGTTTTTTAATACTTTTAATTTTCATTTTCTTACCTGCCACATGCTTGTTTCAAATGTGGTGTATGATACAATAATGCATTGCTTAACAACAGGGACATATTCTGATAAATGCATCTTAGACGATTTTGTTGTTATGCAAACATCATAGAGTATACTTACACAAACCTAGATGGTATAGCCAGTACATACCTCAGGTATATGGTATAGGCTATTATTGCTCCTAGGCTGCAAACCTGTACAGCATGTTATTGTGCTGAGTACTGCAGGTAGTTGTAACACAGTGGTATTTGTGTATCTAAAAACAGAAAAGGTATAGTAAAAATATAGTATTATAATCTTATGGGACAACTGTCATAGATATATGGTCTGTTGTTGACTTAGGTATTGTTACGCAGTACATGACTATATTTTATAGTGCCATGGGTTGTAGCAATAAAAGTTAAATGATACTTAGTTTGAATTGTTTATGTTTTTGAAAGGTGAAAGGCATCATGTTGCATTTACAAAGCTTGGTGAAGGCAAGGTAATATATCTGATTGATTTATGTTTTAGGCTTGTGTATTCCAAAGCACATTTGGAATTTCTTTCTTCTTTTCCTCCTCTCTCCCCCACCATCCCCCCTCCCCTCCCCCTTTCATCCTCCCTTCACTCTCCTCGCTTCTCCCCTGCCCCCTCTCCTCTTCCCCTTTCCTTTTTGAGAAACAGTCTCATTCTGTTGCCCAGGCTGGAGTGCAGTGGTGTTATCTTGGCTCACTGCAGCTTCGACTTCCTGGGCTCAGGTAATCCTACCATCTCAGCTTCCCAAGTAGCTGGGACCACAGGCGTGCACCACTATGCCTGGCTAATTTTTGCATTTTTTGTAGAGATGGGGTTTTGCCCTGTTGCCCAGGCTGGTCTCAAACTCCTGGACTCAAGTGATCCACCCGCCTTGGCCTCCCAAAGTGTTGGGATTACAGGTGTGAACCACCATGCCAGGCCTGGAATTTCTTGGTTGTCCTGAAGCCTCTTTTTATCTCTTTTTGATATTTAGTAATATATTCATTTATTCATCATAAATCCCAGTTAAAGGGTTAAAGCAAGGTGAAATTGAGTCTCAAGAGTGTTTAATTTGCCTGATTAAGGCATATAACTAGGAAGCAGCAGAACTGGAATATAGTTTTATTATTATGTGTTTTTTAAGCTTTAGTCTTCATATTTAACAAAAGGAGAATCCTGATGTTACAGCTTTGTTATGACATAAATAAGAGTGTAGGTAAGGCCCAAACATCATTTCTTATATATTGTTAATGCCTCCTTTGCATCTTCTATGGAAAGAAATATTTGATTAAAAGGCTGGAAGAAGCAGCTATGGAAAATAGAAAACAAATAGAACTGGACAATGTAGGATTGAATTAATGAGTTGACATTTTTGGTGAAGAAATTTTATTTTAATTAATTAACGTTTTTGACACAGAGTCTCGCTCTGTCACCCAGGCTGGGGTGCAGTGATGCAATCTTGGCTCACTGCAACTTCTGCCTCCCGGGTTCAAGCGATTCTCCTGCCTCAACCTCCCAAGTAGCTGGGACTTTAGGCGCCTGCCAGCATGCCTGGCCCCAAGTAGCTGGGACTCTAGGCGCCTGCCAGCATGCCTGGCTATTTTTTATATTTTTAGTAGAGATGGGGTTTCACCATGTTGGCCAGTCTGTTCTCGAATTCCTGACCTCAAGTGATCTGCCTGCCTCGGCCTCCCAGAATGCTGGGATTACAGGCGTGAGCCACCATGCCCAGCCAGAAATATAATTTTTAATGTAGAAGCAATGCCAATTTTACTTTTGGAAATTATCATGAATTAGAATTCTGGATCAGGAGTTGGAAGATCTTAGTTGGAATCTTCTCTCCACTATTGATTGATAGTGCAAACTTGGGTGAGTCATTTATAAAATGACTGCTTCTAACTTGCCAATGTATCTTCAGAAGCAAATATGATACCATATGAAAGCTCATGATGATGGTGGTGATAAAGACAGTGAAAATAGTATCTTCTGTTTATTTAGTACCAGGGCTAGTGTTATATATTTTGTATTAATTATCTTGTTTAACCCTTTAACTCTTTGAGGAAGAAACTATTATTTTCCCTTTTATTAGTTTTTTTTTAAAATAGTTTTTTTTAAGTGAAGCATAACATACAAAAAAGAAAGAGCATTAAGCAAAAACACATAACTGGCCAGGTGTGGTGGCTTACGCCTGTAATCCCAGCATTTTGGGAGGCTGAGGCAGGCGGATCACCTGAGGTCAGGAGTTTGAGACCCGCCTGGCCAGCATGGTAAAACACCATCTCTACTAAAAATACAAAAAAAAATTAGCTGGGCATGGTGGCAGGTGCCTGTAATCCTAGCTACTTGGGAGGCTGAGGCAGGAGAATCGCTTGAACCTGGGAAGTGGAGGCTGGGTGAGCCGAGATTGTGCCACTGCATTCTAGCCTTGGCGATAGAGCAAGACTCCATCTCAAACAAACAAACAAAAAAACTCAAAAACAAACAGAGAACCCACATAGCGAAATGACATACCATAAAATGAACATACTCATGTAACCACTACCAAGCTCAAGAAATTGAACAATCTCAGTACCCAGAAGTGCTTGTTGTACATATATTCACTTACTACTGCCCCTTCTTTCCCCAAAGCAACCACTTTCCTGACATCTGACACCATAGTAGGATTTTGACTCTTTAAATTTTTATTTGAATGGAACCATATGTATTTTTGGGCCTAGATTATTTTGCTCAATATTATGTAAGTGAAATTTATTCAGGTTTTTGTAACAATAGTTCATTTGTGTGTGTATATATCTGTTTCCTCTCCCTGCACAATCAGGTGAGGAAGGGTTGGGATTCTGCCTGCACTGGTCTTTCCTGTTGTATGGGGGATGGTGAGTTTGCAGGTCTGGTCCATGTTGTGAATAAAACATTTTTTTGCTCAGTGTACTATTGATATAGATTTAATTATGTCCAGTTTTGGCTATAATGAATAATGCTATAATGAACATTTTCATACATGTCCTTTGGTGGACATATACATATATTTCTGTTGGTTATATGCCTAGGAGTGAAATTACTGGGTCATACTGTAGGCCTATGTTAAGCTTCAGAGATAACTGACAAATAGTTTTTTCATAATAGTAATGCCATTTTTTTATACCAACAAGTAATGTATGAGGCTGTATTAAAATATTGCAGTTAAAATAAGAATTGTAATGTCTTTATGAGGGTAAAAAGACAAGCCACAGATGGAAGTGTATATTCTTGATACTTACAATTTGCAACATACTTATATCCACAATATATAACTTTTATAAATCAATAAGAAAAAAATAGCTCAATAGAAAAATGGACAGGAGACTTGAACAAACATGTAAAAAAGAGTATACCCCAAAGACCAATAAACATAAGATGTTCAGTTGACACCAAATCAGATTGCACTAATTACTTGCCATAATGGATTAAAAAATAAAATATTTGGGCCATCTATCTATTCTTTCTCCTTTAACTCATTCCTTCCCCTTACATATTTTTAAAATAATTTCCAAGACTTTTATTTCAATATAAAGGTCTTCAGAATATCTAATCTTTTCTACTATTAGAGGCAGAATCCTATCATCTCCCATATGGTTGACATTCAAGTTGTTCTAAAATACTGACATTGCCCATAATGCTGGAATGTACATCCTTTTCTATGTTTCCTCGTTACATATTCAAGTTCTGTAAATTATGATCAGGAAAAGAATAACTGAGTATGTAAACATTCAGTTATGTTTTATATTGCTGAATTGTTCTCTGAAATGGTTAAATCAATTTATTACCATCCATACTATATGTGAGAATTAATATTTCTTTTTTTTCCTTTCCAAGTTATATTTTAGGTTCAGGGGGTACATGTGCAGGTCTGTTACTTGGGTAAATTGCATGTTGCGTGCATTTGGTATACAGATTATTTTGTCGTTCAAGTAATGAGCATAGTACCTAATGGTTAATCTTTTGATTCTTACCTTCCTCCCACCCTCCACCCTCAGGTAGGCCTTGGTATTTATTGTTCCCTTCTTTGTGTCCATGTATACTCAGTGCTTAGCTCCCACTTATAATTGAGAACATGCGGTGTTTGTTTTCCTGTTCCTGCATTAATTTGCTTAGGATAATGCCCTCCAGCTCTATCCATATTGCTGCAAAGGACATGATTTCATCTTTTTTTATGTCTATGTAGTATTCCATGGTGTATATGTCTTGTATTTTCTTTATCTAGTCCACTGTTGGGCATCTAGGTTGATTCCATGTCTTTGCTATTGTGTATAGTGCTGCAATGAACATACACATGCGTGTGTCTTTGTGGTAGAAAAGATGTATATTCAAAAGCATGTTGCCTATGCTCTTGAGGTCTTAGTCATAAATTCTTTGCCTAGACCAATGTCAGGTCTTACATTTAAGTCTTTTATCTATCTCAAGTTGATTTTTGTAGTGAGAGATAAGGGTCTAGGTTTGTTCTGCATATAGATATCCCGTTTTCCCAGCACCATTTATTGAAGAGACTGTTCTTTTCCTCAGTGTGTTTTCTTGGCCCCTATGTAGAAAATCAGTTGGCTGTAAATGCTTGGATTTATTTCTGGGTTTTTAAATTTTATTCCACTGGGCTATGTGTCTTTTTTTTGTGCCAGTACCATGCTGTTTTGGTTATTATTGCTTTTAGTAAATTTTAAAGTCAGGGAGTATGATGCCTCCAGCTGTGTTCTTTTTGCTTGGGGTTGCTTTGAGTATTTAGGGTCTTTGTGGTTCCATACATATTTTAGGATTGTTTTTTCTTATGTCTGTGAAAGTGTCATTGGTATTTTGATAGGGATTGCATTGATTTCATAGATTGCTTTGGATAGTATGGAAATGATTTTGGAAGAATTCCCTCCACTTCAATTTTTTGGAATAGTTTGTGAATATTGGTATGAGTTCTTTAAATGTTTGGTAGAATATGACAGTGAATCCAAAGGTCTTAGGCTTTTCTTTGATTGCTTTCTCCAGGTTTGGGAAGTTTTCTCTATTTCTTTGAATAAGTTTCCTACCTTTTTTTTTTAAAATAGTATTCTTATATGTTGTATTTTAGGTTTGCTGTTTTCAATCAATACTATGCTTTTAATGTTTCTATATATTGGCGTATATAGTTGAAGAGCCCTAATTTCAGTGATGAATAATATTTTACTGATTAAATTGTAGCATATTTTTAAAGTAAGTACCAGAAACTATAATTCATTTTGTAAGTTTTTGAAATATAGTTGCTGTTATATTTCATGTTTAAAAAAAAATTTTTTTAAACAGTAATTTCCTTTTTTCACTGAATAGTAATTGTCTGGGGTATCCTTGAAATATGAATACTTAACTTTTTTTTTTTTTTTAGAGAGAGTCTTATTCTGTTGTCCAGGCTGGAGTGCAGTGGCATGATCTTGGCTCACTGCAAGCTCTACCCCCTGGGTTCAAGTCATTCTTGTGCCTCAGTCTCCTGAGTAGCTGTGATTTTCTGCATTTGCCACCACACCCAGCTAATTGTTGTATTTGTAGTAGAGATGGGGTTTCACCACTTTGCCCAGGCTGATTTTGAACTCCTGGCCTCAAGCAATCTGCCTCCACTTCCCAAAGTGCTGGGATTATAGGCGTGGACCATCATGCCTGGACTGAATAGCTTACGTTCTTATAGCACAGTAGATGAGAACATGAGCTCTGCAGTACGGTTGCCAGAGTTTGAATTACAGCTCTAATCTTTATAAACTGTATAACAGTAGACAAACTATTACCACTGTGCCTCAGTTTTCACATTTTTTAACAGGATCTTATAAATATTGTCAGATAAGAGATGTAAAAGACTTAGTGTAGTATCTGAGTAATAGCAAATACTCAGAAAATGATAATTGTTATCATAAAGAGAGGGAAGGAAACACCTACAGGATATCTTATGTTTTTTTTTTTATCATTTCTAGTCCTACTATTGTAATTTCTTAATTTGTGTACACATATAATATTAGTAACTAAATCATTATTCATGTAATATGTACATTTGAAATATGGTAGTCATATTTTTTTCAAGTAACAGACAACTTTGAAATTTATTTGCAAATAATACTATTTAGACACATCTTCTATAATTTCTACTTTTTAAAAACTTAAAAAATAAAATGTTGAATTAATTAGAAGTTACCAGGATATACTCAGAAATAGTGTTGTAACCCGAACTAAAACACATTTTATTGTTTTTTAAATTCCCATGGCTAACTTAAAATCACTGGGCAAGTAGATTTGGGCCTGATATTTACCTAGGAATTGCTTATCAGGTAAGAAATAAATTATTGATTTGCTAAAGGCTTCATTTCATACTTTTATACTTTACCATCAACTGTTTTATTTTTATTCCTTTGAAAATATACTCTAGACTGTTATTGGTGATTTCTTTATTAATGTGGTATTTTCCACTAGACCTTTCTGTCATAATATAAGTGTTTTTTATCTTCTCTCTCCAATATGGTAGCCACTAGCCACATGTGGCTGTTGAGCACTTGAAATATAGCTAGTGCAACCAAGGACCTGAATTTTTATTTTTATATAATTTTAATTTTAAATAGCCACATATGGCTGGTGGCTACCATATTGGATAGTGCAAGTTTAGAGTAGCAGTGAGTTTTTTAATATAAAATGAATGTTAAGTGAATGACTTCTTCAAAAAATTATCTTTAGTATGGATTCTTAAGAATTTTATTATCTCATTGTGTAAGAGAACTGTAGTGAAATTTTTCATAATTAAAAAAATTTGTAGTTAATGTGTCATGCAGATTGAGGGTAAGCTAATTAGGTCTCTGATTCTTTACGTATAAAATGGGGAGAATTGTGCCTATTTCATAAAGTTGTTGGAAGATTTAAATTGTATAATAAAATGAAAAGTTCATTGCATGTGGTCTGGCATTATGTATTAAACGCTCCATGAATCTTATTTTCTGTTATTAGTTTTATTACTATTTATACTAATAAATAATGGTTGCCTTTCCCTTGCTCATTTTCCTTTTTACTTAAAATGTTTTCTTTCCTTTTTAGCAACTGATTTGGTGCTGAGAAAGGTTATCAATTTTTCTGACTGTACAGTTTGTCTTGATAAACGGAATGCCAGTGGTAAAATAGAATTTTACCAGGATCCTTTATTGTACAAATGTTCCTTCAGAACTCGTCTTCATTTTACATATGATAACCTAAATTCCAAGATGCCATCTGTTATTAAAGTAGGTATCTCTTTTTTTTGTAGTTAAGTTGCATGTCTTTATTTTGTTTATTGACTCTTGCGGATGATAATCATTATTAACAAATGAGGAAATTAACCTTATAAATATGTATGCCATTTGTTTTTATAAAAATTTTATTTCTGTTTATGATTTTTATGTTGTATTTATACATTTCTCTATGATATATTCTAGTAGAGTTTAGAGACAACTTTTCTCTGTAATTTTATTTTTTTAGTTTGTCCAGCTGTTTATTAGTGTTTCTCTCTTCAAGTAGATAGAGGAAATAATATTAAAGGGTATATTTATACCCACAATGGATTGCATATCAGTATTCTGTATTTCAGTTCTTATAATCTGTTCAGCATGATCTGCTATCTATACTTTTTCTTCTCTTTACTAGGTGACTTTGTAAAGCTTGATATACTAACCCAATATTTTAGTTTATTGGTTCAAGAAGTTTTAGCTTTTGATTTATGATTTTTAAAATGTAATTAAAATCTTAGGGAGTTATTCAGGACATGTCTTTTTATTTTTTATTTCCATTTTTATTTCAGATTAAGGGATTTGTTATAAGGGTATATTGTATGATGCTTAGGTTTGGGCTCCCATTGATACCATCACCCAGATAGTGAACATAGTACCCAATAGGAAGTTTTTCAGCGCTTATTCTCTCTCCCTCCTTCCTTCCTTTTAGAGTCCACACTGTCTGTTGTTCCCATCTTTATGTCCATGTATACCAAAGATTTAGCTTCCATTTCTAAGTGAGCACAGGACATGTCTTTTGATACCTGTGAAAATTTTCTCTCCAATGTAGTGTATGTTTTCAATGTATGTGGTTAGTATCTAAGCATAAATATTGTTGTCTTATTTAAGTTTTCTGAATATTGTTTGTCTTCCTATAACTGTATCTTGGAAAAAGAATTCGGTGACTTCTGATCCGTTAACTAGGTTTTAATGTGGAATAAATGTTTATTGTTGAAATACTTGCCACTGACTGTCAAAGTTCTGTGGTGGAAGGGCTGGACTTAGGTGTCTGAACACTGGTATTGACTACTGTTTCTGTTTGGGTATGGCTGTATAAAAACTAGGTTTGTTTTTGTTACATTATATTTTATTTAAAATATAATTTTTTCTATTTTATGTAGCCTTACTGTACTTAATATGTAAAATCTACATTTTTTTTCTTGGTAGTGCTCAGTCACCTGTGTTTTACTTTTTTCCACACAGTGTATAATGCATATTGGTTTGTTTATATTCTGTTACTTTTTCCTTCTATATTTGAATTAGCTTCTTTGGCAAAGATAAACATGGAAAAGAATTAACTTAGTAATATTGATGGCTCTATCTCAGGGAAATGGGCTTACTTTCTTTAGCCTTGGGTTTTCTAGTAAAGTTGGGGAATGTGAAGGTAAATTCAAGATACATTGAAAGCAAATAATGGATATATGTACGTTTACTATATAAAATACTCTTTTTGATCATTAGTGCATATGTAATGGTCTGTTCTGGGATGTGGTTATATTAGAGGAAGATAAAAATAGATGAGAAAAAACTTAGTGTTGGCATATAAGTAAGTTTGTGTTCTCACAACTGATTAGCCATGACATTTCACTGAAAAAGTCCCTTAACATAAATAAACGTGTATAATAGTTGCCAAATATGTGATATCAATGTTTTATGCTCAACTGAAATCAATTTTTGAGGTTTTATTTCTTTTTTTCTTTTCTCTCTCTTTTTAATTCCCTCCTTTCTCCCTCCCTTCTCCTTCCTTTCTCTCCCCTCCCCTCTGCTCTCTCTCCTTTTTCCTCTTTCCTATTTTCTTTACCTTCGAGGTTCCCTGTCACCCAGGCTGGAGTGCAGTGGCACAATCATACTTCACTGTAACCTTGAACTCCTGGGCTCAAGCGATCCTTCTGCCTCACGCTCTCAAGTAGCTAGAACTACAGGCGCATGTCTCTATCCCTGGCTCATTTTAAATTGTTTTTTGTAGAGACGGAGTCTCACTCTGCAGCTCAGGCTGGTCTTGAACCTCCTAGCTTCAAGTAATTCTCCTGTCTACGCCTCCCAAAGTGCTGGGAATCCTGGCATGAACCACCATGCCCGCCTGAGTTTTTTGTTAATACTATTGTAATGTTGAGATTTGCCATTTTGGGTTAGACCCATCATCCTTCCAATTCCTAATCCTAGGGAATATGTATTAAATAGATATGGTCGACCTCATTAATTACCTCACAAACAGAGGTTTCTCAAAATGTTCCGGATACTCTATTTCTTTTCTTTCTTTTCTTTTTTTTTTTTTTTTTGAGACAGAGTCTTGTTCTTGTTGCCCAGGCTGGAGTGCAATGGCATGATCTCAGCTCACTGCAACCTCTGCCTCCTGGGTTCAAACAATTCTCCTGCCTCAGTCTCCCGAGTAGCTGGGATTACAGGTGCCGTCCACCAGGCCTGGCTAATTTTTGTATTTTTAGTAGAGACAGGGTTTTGCCCTGTTGATCAGGCTGGTCTCGAGCTCCTGACCTCATGCGTGATCCCCCTGGCTCGGCCTCCCAAAGTGCTGGGATTACAGGCATGAATCACCGTGCCTGGCCCCTCTGTTTCTTTTCAAATCTTTCATGTATGTTTATTTTGAATGCATTTATATTTTGGGTTGGCTTTATAATTTTCCATTTTTTTGTGTGAAATAAGTATGTTCTGGTGATTATGACGTTTATGAGATACAGATCCTATGGGTACGTAATTTATTTAACGTTTCTCCTGTTTTTAGAAATTTACTTTGCAGTTTCTCAGAGCAGTGAAATTCTGTGCATAGATCTTTGACCACATTTCCTGAGTAATTCCTTAGGAAAGATTTGTATAATTGCAAATATCTTTTTTTTAAGACCTGTGATCTGTGTTGCCAAATTGTTTCCAGAAAGATTTAGCCAGGTTATACTCCCATGAACATTAGGGGGAGTGCCTACATCATACTCTTGTTATCCTTAAATATGATGATATTTTAAAAATTGCCAACTTGTTGAACAACAAATGATATGTAATTTAATTGCTGTTTATTACTGAAGTTAGATTTTTGAAAACACATTCACTGGTCATTTGTTCTTTGTATTCTCAGTTCGGGTTCTTTATCCATTTTCCTATTGAGTATTAATCTTACTCGTTTTAAGGAGTTTTTAAAAAGACACTTAAGACAGATTCTTTGTTGTTGGTTTTGCTGACTGCTTATCTCCAGTGCTATTGGTGCAATACAAGATTTAAAAGAATATGGCAGAGAAATTTCAAATTAAGGAAACTTTAGCAGATGTGCATACTCCTTTCCTGCTCACCTCCCCCATTCATTCCCCATTTTCTTACCTCTTCATTGTTTATTCAGTGTATGATTATTAGGTCAGTTTTTAAAAACTCGTGCTTATATTTGAAATATGGTATTTCACAGTCCCCCCATACAGTTTTTTCCCCCTTAACATGAACTTTTTTATGTGCTTTAAGCCCTAAAAATACGATGATTGCCATTACTACTACTTCATCTTTCATAGACACTCAAATACATTAGTCAAAATAAACCTTCTAAGAGAGTGGACTTTATGGCTTAATTGGTTTTACTCCATATTTCGATAACAGCAGGAAACCATTACACCGAAGCTGTGTTTATATTCCATTGATGTCTCTTTCTTTAAGGAGAACTTTGATTGCTGTATATCCTATTTGCTAGTAGTTAATCTTATTTCTTTGTTATAATTGTTTCATTTTATCAGTTGAATAAATTTTATGTCATTTAAATCTTTACAATTTGAAAAACTTTTGTTATTTAAATCTTATTTAAAATTTGAAAAACGTTTTTCAACATACATTTCACTTGTTTTTCCATATTTGACAAAAATTTTTATTATTTACATACTTTCATAGTTGTAATATTAGTCTTTTCCCCAGTTAACACATGGTTTTAGATGTATGTATTATTTATGGTTAATAAACCTGGAAAGAATGATTAGAGTTTCACTAAAATGACATAAAATTTTTATTATTCTTGGTTTTGACAGATTGTTCTGTTTTTTGGGGGTAGTACTGTTATTCTCTTAATGTTATAGAGTAGCTATTTGGTTACATAACTAACTTTGTTTCTGGAACAGTAATCTGGAAATCTAATGTGATTATACCTTCTCACTATTAATTCTATTTGTATGTACATCATTTGGTTTAATATAGTTTCTAGCTAACGTGTATTGATCATCATAGCAAAATCTACTTAATTCCTAAGATCTTAGAGTATCGTTTTAAGTATTAAAATGTTTGGAGCATTTCTTTTGTGTTAGGCCATTTGAAGACTTTAAAACATTTCTTTACGTAAAAGGTACTCTTTTTAAACATGCGTTTGTTGGTGTTTTTGTCTTTTTCAAAATGCAGATTCATACTTTAGTAGAAAGTTTGAAACTTTCTATCACAGATCAACAACTGCCTATGTTTATTCGTATAATGCAACTTGGAATTGCTCTTTACTACGGAGAAATAGGCAGTTTTAAAGAAGGTGAAATAGAGGACCCTACTTGTCATAATAAAGATATGCTAGGAAACATTACAGGTAACTAATGTAAAACTTTATTAAACAAAAACTTTAAGACTATTCTTACATTTTACGATTGAGAAACTTTAAAAAATGTATTAGATTGAGTTTTACTGTATTCTAATGAGATGGGCTGATTGTTTTTTGGTTGTTTTACACTATTTTAATTTTTTTGTTTTGTTTTGAGACGGAGACTAGTTTCGTTGCCTGGGCTGCAGTGCCGTGGTGCAATCATGGCTCACTGCAACCTCTGCCTCTCAGGTTCAGGCAGTTCTCTTGCCTCAGCCTCCCAAGTAGCTGGGATTACAGACATGCACCACCACGCCTGCCTCATTTTTGTATTTTTTTAGTAGAGATGGGGTTTCACCATATTGGCCAGGCTGGTCTCAAACTCCTGACCTTGTGATCTGCCCGCCTTGGCCTCCTGAAGTGCTGGATACGAGCCACTGCACCCAGCCTACACTATTTAATTTTATCTACATGCTGGATAACATTCTGACTTTTTCCTGTATGCTAAAAATAACTTATATATTTCTAATAAATATAAGTGTTCAGAATGTACTACTTATTTATTTATGAATGAGACAGGGTTTTGCTCTGGCACCCAGGCTGGAGTGCAGTGGCACGATCATGGGTCACTGCAACCTCGACTTCCCAGGCTCAGGTGATCCTTCTACCACAGCCTTCCTAGTAGTTAGGGCTGCAGGCACGTGCCACCATGCCTGACTAATTTTTGCATTTTTTGTAGAGACAGGTTTTGCTGTGTTGCCCGGGGTGGTCTCAAACTCCTAGGCGTAAGTGATCTGCCCACCTCAGCATCACAAAGTGCTGGGATTACAGGCATGAGCCACCATGCTTGACTCGGGATATACATTTGATAAAAGTTGAAGTAGTATAACCTCAAAATTTCCTAGTACATAATAGTATTGGTAATTTTTCTGCAAAACTTCACTTAAGTAAAATTGAATTATTTTAGTGCTGTTAGTTAATGAAATGTAAACTTCATTGAAGGATATGTAATGTGGGAAAATACAGAGATCATTTTGATGTATTTCTTTCCCTTAGAATTTTAAGATAAAATGGGACAGATAGATATGTCAGTAGTTAGTTAAGTATGATGTATGGTAGAATGGCAGAAAGTTTGATAAATATCATGAATGATCTGATGTAGAAAGATGAAAGGAATGACTGATTTCAACTTGGTATTGGGCCTGAGACTCAGAAAGTTTTAAGATGATTAATTTCCATAGATAAGGCCCTAAGAGAAGGGCATTTAAAACTTAGGAGCAAATAAACCAATTAAAAATGGGCAAAGAGACATTTCTCCAAAGAAGATAAACAAATAGTAAACAAGCAAATCAAAACCTCAATGACATACCACTTCACAGGTACTAGATGACTATAATAAAAAAAAATACAAAATAACAGGTATTGGTGAGGATGTGGAGAAATTGGAACTCATATAAGTTGTTGTTGGGAGTGTAAAATGGTATATAGTTGCTTTGGAAAACAATATGGCAGTTCTTCAAAACGTTAAATATAGAGTTACCATATTGACCCAGCAATTCCATTCCTACGTATATATCAAGAGAATTGATAACATATGTCCATGTAAAAACTTATATATGAAATGTTCATGGTAACATGTTCATAGTAGCCAAAAACTGGACACAGTTGAAATGTCTATCAACTGATGAATGATCAAATTATGGTATATTCATACATTGGAGTATTATTTAGCTATACAAAAAAATGAAATACTGATATAGGCTTCAGCATGGATGAACCTTGAAAGCATTATCTTAAGTGAAAGCAGCCAGTCAAAAGATAACACATGTGCTATGATTCCATTAGAAATGTTCAGAATAGGCAGTTCTGTAGAGGCAGGAAGTAGATTAGTAACCAGGATTTGAGGGGAGGAGAGAATGACTGCAAATAAGTAGGCTTCTTTTTGGAATGATGAAAATGTTCTAAAATTATATAGTGGTGATGGGAGCAGAACTTGTGACTATTAAAAAAATCCCACTGAATTGTACACCTTTAAATGTTGAATTTTATGCTATTTAAACTTTATCTCATTAAAAAATCTTACTACCTTAAAGCATGGAGAACAACATGAATCAGAGTACATAGATATAAAACGTACCTTTATTTCACACTAGAGGGTAAATTTTTGTTAGACAATGCACTTCTGAGACAGAAACAGTGTCTTATACCTGGAGCAAACATAGCACGTAGAGGATACTTATTTTATTTTTTTCCAACATGACAAATTTCAAATATATGGAAAAGCTGTAAGAGTTATTATAAGGTGAACACTCACATACGTATCATCTAGAGTCTACTATTGATATTCTGTTACATTTGCTTCATCACATATCGGTTCATCTAACATCCCTTTCTCTATTTATCAATACAATGATTGTTTTTGATGCCTTTCAAGTTAAGTTACAAACATTGGTACACTTCACCCCTAACCCTCAGCTGCCTGTTGTTATATAGAGTTTCTACTAAGTGGGTGATTTTAGTTTTTTTTGGAAGTTAAATCTCCAAAGTAAAATTCAGTGAGTTTGAGAAATACTACACCTGTGTGATGCAAAACGCTCATCAAGATATAGGTCATTTACAGCTGAGATAGTTTCTTATACCCCTTTCTAGTCATCCCCCTTTCACCTGCCTGCCTCCCCTCCAGAAAACACTATTCTGAAGTTCCTTAAAACTATAGATTTAGTTTTGCTGATTCTAGAGTTTCATATAAATGGAAACAGTATGTATAAAGGTTTCTTTCATTAAGCATAGTGTGTTTGGTATTTATCTATGTTGTTGCATATAGCAGTCGTTCTTTCCTTTTCATTGCTAGATACATTGTATGAATATACCATGTGAATATACTATAGTTTATTTTACCATTCAGTTGTTGATGGACACTTGGGCTGTTTTCGTTTTTGGCTATTATAAATAAAACTTTCATAGATATTTTTGTACAAATTTCACATAGACATGTGCTATTCTTTCTTTTGGGTAAATACTTAAGAGTAGAATTATATGTTTATTTTTCAAAGAAACTTCCATAACTTTTTCCAATGTGGTTGTACCATTTTATATTCCTATCAACAATGTGTAAGAGTTGCAGTTGGCCTACATCCTTGCTAACATTCAATGGTGTATTTTTTCACTTTTTTGCCATTGGGATGAGTGTGTTGTGTTATCTTATGGTTTTTTAATTTGCATTTTTTGATGGCTAATTATTTTGAATTTTTAATGTGATTATAGGCCTTTATCTACCTTTGTGAAGTATGTGTTAAATATTTGTCCATTTAAAGCTTTTTTGTGTCTTTTTAAAATTTTATTTTACTTTATGTATTTATTATTTATTTATTTACATAGTCTCACTCTTGCCCAGGCTGGAGTATGATGGCATGATCATAGCTCACTGCAGCCTTGAACTCCTGGGCTCAAGCAATCCTCCAGTCTCAGCCTCCTGAGTGACTGGGACTACAGGTGCATGACATTGAGTGTGGCTGATAAATTTTTTTTTTTTAAAATTTTTGTCGTGGTGGGGGGGGGTCTCACTTTGTTGTAGCAGGCTGTTCTTGAACTCCTGGCTTCATGTGATCCTGCCATCTCGGGCTCCCAAAGTGCTGGGATTATAGGAATGAGCCAGTGGGCCCAACAGGGTTTGCAACTTATATAAAACTTATTCTGAACTACAATGGCTAAAGTGTCTTGGTACTATTATTTTAGTTACTCTAGTTAATTCTTATTAAGCCTTTTCCTTCTCAGGTGAAAGAAGGCAAACATTCATAACCTATAAATGTAGAATGTTCCAAGAGTCTCCTGTCATAAGAGTTTAAAAAGTTTTAAAGCTTTTTCAATAAGAAAACCTGTAAGGATGTTATTTAAAGATTTAAAAGAGTATGTGTATTTAAAGATTTATCAATGGAGAGTAGGTATGAGTGAATCTGCTGGAGACTACTTTTCCTATGGTGTGTTTTTTTTTTTTTTTTAGACAGGGTCTAGGGTCTTGCTCTGTCACCCAGGCTGCAGTGCAGTGGTATGATCATGGCTCACTGCAATGCTTGCCTCCTGGCTTCAAGTGATTCTCGTGCCACCTCAGCCTCCCAAGTTGCTGTGACCATAATGGGTACACACGACCACACCCAGACAATTTTTTTTGTTTTTTTAGTAGGGATAGGGTTTCACCGTGTTGCCCAGGCTGGTCTTGAACTCCTGAGCTCAGGTGATCTGCCCACTTTGGCCTCCCAAAGTGCTGGGATTACAGGTGTATGTCACTGATCCTGGCCCCTATGAATTTTACACTTGGACAGTTTTTTGTACTTTTAGTAGGGACAGGGTTTCATCATGTTGCTGAGGCTGGTCTCGAACTCCTGAGCTCAGGTGATCTGCCCATCTCGACCTCCCAAAGTTCTGGGATTACAGGTGCTAGTCACTGTTCCTGGTCCCTGTGAAATTTTTAAAAAGTAATTTTTTTTTTTTCTAAATTTCATGATGCCTCTTTTGTTTATATAGCTAGAATAATATTAAGGGACTTTGATGGAGTTTGTCTTTACAAAGGTGGCATAAATTAAAGAGTGGTTGGAATCTAAATCTTTGGTCTGCCAATTTGTAACCAAATAAAATTTCTTCCCTATAATTTTTTCATCTGTACAACAGGAAAGGTATATAATATCTTACTTGCTAGTAAGAAAGAGGCCCCAACATTATTATTTTTCTTAGCTACATATAAAAGTCATTTTATTGTAATGTTTGCTTTCATCTTTGGGATAATTCTTGTTTGGGCAGGGGTACATTTTGCCTAGAAGCACTTTCCATTTTTTTTTCCTCCATGGGTGCATCAGGAAATGAAGAATATTTCTTGGATCTTTGTGGTATTACATTTCTGAGAAAAGTCAGTTTTTCAATATATCAGCCTTATTTTTGAGAGGTAGGTTTTTTGTTGTTGGTTTAAAACATCATGAGTGACGTTAAATAATTAATTTATTCTTTGTCTTTATCAAATACAGTTAAAAGTTATGGGCAGTTGATAAGCTACTTTCCACATCACATTAACCATAACCTACTAAAGGAAATTGATACAGTACAACATACAGAAACTTGAGAGTCATAATGCTAAATTATTGGTTTCAAATAATAATAATCAATGTATCATTTGTTTATATCTTAGAAGGATATGGGAGGAAAAATTGTGAAGGATGTGTATTTCTATTTTCTTAGTTAAATTCTTTTGACTTATTTAAAGTGACTTAATTTTAATTGATAGGTTCTGAAGATGAAACAAGAATAGATATGCAATATCCTACTCAGTATAAAGGTCAAGAGTTATATTCACAGCAAGATGAGGAGCAGCCACAGGGATGGGTATCATGGGCCTGGTCCTTTGTGCCTGCAATTGTGAGTTATGACGATGGCGAGGAAGACTTTGTTGGGAATGATCCTGCATCAACCACGCATCAGCAAAAAGCACAGGCTTTGAAGGATCCTATTGTTTCTATAGGATTTTATTGCACAAAGGCAACGGTGACTTTCAAAGTAGGTCTTTTCTCTTGCTGTTTATATCTGTAGCAACTTTAATACTTAAATTTGGATTGTTAGTACAATTCTAGCTTCATTCAAGTTTGTTTTGCATTCAGTAGATGTGAGATAGAGTCTAACAGTTCTTACTTCATAAAATTACATGGCTCCTCCACTTGAAATCTTTGAATTTTGATCCCTTCCTGTCTTCTTAGGGCCTTCTCCACATTTCTTTTTTATTAGCTTCATGGATAGTTTTTTGCCCTGTTGAATCATTCACTTGGTGTACAAACATGCCTTAATATTGTCATTAAAAAAGAAAGGAACAGCAAAAATTTTCCCTTGAATTCTTTTACCCATCAGGTACGGTTTCATTTCTGTGCTTGCCTTCGTAACAATCATAACAGTCTCTGTCTCTCTCTTTTTTTTTTTTTTTGAGACAGGGTCTGGCCTAGGCTGGAGTGCAGTGGTGCAATCACAGCTCATTGCAACCTCTGCCTCTCGGGCTCAAGACATCCTCTCACCTCAGCCTCCCGAGCAGCTGGGACTACAGGCATGTGCCACTGTGCCCAGCTAATTTTTTTTTTCTTTTTTAAAATATTTTGTAGAGATGGGGTTTTGCCATGTTGCCCAGGCTGGTCTCACTCCTAGGCTCAAGCGTTTTTCCCCCTTTGGCCTCCCAATGTGCTAGGATTACAGGTGTTAGCCATCATGCCCAGCCTCATAACAAATTTTTGTTTTTAAAGGATTATTTATATATAATTATCTCTTTCCTCATTTGTTTCGCTTTTAAGGACAAATTTGTTAACTAGGTCCTCTTCTAGCTATTTTTCCAGCAGTATTTAACATAATTTGACGACTTCTTCCATTAAAATAATGCATGTAAAATATCTATTCTCATCTATACAAAAATACATATAGTATATACAAATATGTGTATGTCCAGGTCAAAGAATAATAAAGTAAATACCCTTTTACTTGAAGAAATACAATTATGCCATGCACGGTGGCTTGCACCTGTAATCCCAGTTCCCCTGCATCTCAGCCAAAAGAAATATAAAATTGCTAGTAGCTTTGATTCCCCATGTATTCTTCTTTGATCATATTTTACCTTCTGTTCCTCTCACATATAACCCAAACTTAATTTTTGAGTTATTTGTTTCCTGGACTTTTATAATACTATTACCATGCCTGTAATAGTCCCGAGTAATATCTTAATTCATTCAACAAATATTCTCAGTGCTAGCTGTGTCTAGGCATTGTTTTGTCTCCAGAGATACCAGAGTGAACAGATATAAATTCCTGCTTTTTCAAACTTAAGTTGATATTATAAACAAATAACATATATATTGTGTTCATTGAATATAAAGGTTATGTAGAAAAATCAAGTGGGGGCCTGGTGCGGTGGCTCACGCCTGTAATCCCAGCACTTTGGGAGGCCGAGGTGGCCAGATCACCTGAGATCTGGAATTCGAGATCAGTCGGACCAACATGGAGAAACCCCATCTCTACTAAAAAAAAAAAATTAGCCGGTTAGCCGGGTGTGATGGCGCACGCTATCATGCTGTAATCCCAGCTACTCCATGCTGTAATCCCAGCTACTCCGGAGGCTGAGGCAGGAGAATTGCTTGAACCCGGAAGGTGGAGGTTGTGGTGAGCCGAGATCGTGCCATTGCACTCCAGCCTGGGCAACAAGAGTGAAACTCTGTCTCAAAAAAAAAAAAAAAAAATCAAGTGGGAAGAGGAATAGTGAGTGCTTTCACTAGAGGGGAAATTATGCAGTTTAAAATGGGATCATCAGGGAAGGCCTTATTATGAAGGGAATATTAAAGCAAAGACCTGCGAAAGAGGAAGCCTTATTAATATCTGAGAATGAACCTTCCAGTAATAACAAATGTAAAGGCACCAGAGTTCAAGGAACCGCAAGGAAGCCAATAGTGTCATGAGATATTGTAAATGAATGTGGTATGAAAGATAAGAGGGGTGATGAGGTTTGGAGTGGTTCCTAAGTTGTAAACTGTGTAGATCATTTTTGGGACTTTGTCTTTTATTCCGAGTGAGATAAACAATATTTGACCAGTTTTTAGAAGAATTATATGATGATCTGGTTATATTTTAATCTGGATCACTGTGGCTGCTGTGTTGGAAGCAAAAGTAAGGAAAAGAAATAGATAGGAATGCAATTTTCAAGCAGGAGATGGTAATGACTTGGACTAGGGTGATAGCAAGTGGAGGTGATGAAAAGTGATTGTGTTTTGGATGTGTTTTGAAGGTCAAATAGGCAGAATTTCCTGATAGATTTTATTATGAGACATGAATGAAAAAAAAAAAAGATGATCCAAGGATGGCTAGATGAACAACTAGAAGAGTTGAGCTCTGACATTTTGAGATGACTGGGATTAGGAGAAGACTATATTTGAGATGAAGATGAGGAATTTAGTTTTGGGTATGTTTAAGATGCCTGCTGTGTATTTAAGTAGAGTAATTCAGTGGGCAGTTGGATATATGAATCTAGAATTCAGGTTAGAAATTTGCCTAGATGCATATATTTGATAGTCATGATTTTATTAAAACTGAAATTAGTGTAGAACAGAAAAAAGAGGTTCTAGAGCCAAGCTCTGGGGCACTGTGATGGCAAGAAATTGGAAAGATGAGGAAGAAATAGCAAAGGAAGCTGAGAATAAGTGATCAATATTGTAGGCAGAAAACCAAGAGACTGGAAGGTAAGTGCCATAAATGTTTTAAAGAGGAGGGAATAGATTATTTGTAAGAATGGATCCTTGGATTTGACAGTGTGGAAATTACTGGTGATTTTGAGCAGACCAGTGATATGACACTGTTGGAATCTTAGTTGGAGTTGGTTAAAAGTAAATGGGAAGACTGGTAGAAATGTAAAATAGTGCATCTGCTGTGGAATATAGTTTGGTGGTTCCACAAAAAATTAAATGTAGAATTACCATATAATCTAGCCATTTTATTTCTAGGTATGTACTCAAAAGAATAAAAAACTAGTATTCAAACAGATTGATGTACATAAACGTTCATAGTAACTCTATTCAGTGATCTCCCAAAATGGAAACAATCCAAATGTTCATCAGTGGATGAATGAATAAACAAATTATGGTATATACATACAGTGAAATAATATTCAGCCATAAAAAATGAAATTTTGACCAGGTGTGGTGGCTCATGCCTGTAATCCCAGCACTTCGGGAGGCTGAGGTGGGTGGATCATGAGGTCAGGAGTTCAAGACCAGCCTGGCCAACATGGTGAAACCCCGTCTCTACTAAAAATACAAAAAGCTGGGCATGGTGGTGGGTACCTGTAGTCCCAGCTATTCAGGAGGCTGAGGCAGGAGAATCGCTTGAACCTGGGAGGCAGAGTTGCAGTGGGCCAAGATCACGCCATTGCACTCCAGCCTGGGCAACAATAGTGAAACTCCATCATAAAAAAAAAAAAAAAAGGAATGAAGTTCTGATGCATGCTAAACATGAATGAACCTTGAAATTTCTATGCTAAGTGAAATTAGCCAGACACAAAAGGACAAAGATTGTGTGATTCCACTTAGATGATGTTCTCTAGAGAGACAGAATAGGCTATATGTATGTATGAAAGGGAGTTTATTAAGGAGATTGACTCACACGATCACAAGGTAAAGTCCCATGATAGGCGTGTCTACAAGTTGAGGAACAAGGAAACCAGTGGTGGATCAGTCCAAGTCCCAAAACCTCAAAAGTAGGGAAGCTGACAGTGCAGCTTTCAGTGTGGGCCAAAGGCCTGAGAGCCCCTGGCAAACCACAGGTGTAAGTCCCAAAGTCTAAAAGCTGAAGAACTTGGAGTCTGATGTTCAAGGGCAGGAAGCATCCAGCACAGGAGAAAGATGAAGGCCAGAAGACTCAGCAAGTCTAGTCCTTCCACATTCATCTGCCTGCTTTATCCTAGCCATGCTTCCAGCTGGTTAGATGGTGCCCACCCAGATTGAGGGTGGGTCTGCATCTCCCAGTCCACTGACTCAAATGTTAATCTCCTTTGGCAGGACACACCCAAGAACAATACTTTGCAGCCTTCAATCCAATCAAGTTGACAATCAGTATTAACCATCACAGATGAGGTATTTAGAATAGGCAAAATCACAGAAACAGAGAGTAGAATAGACATTGCTAGAGGCTGTAGGATACAGGGAAATTGAGTTAGTGCTTAATAGGTAGAGTTTCTGCCTAGTATGATGTAAAAGCTCTGCAAACATATGGTGGGGATAGTTATGCAATATTTTGTACTAAATGCCACTGAATTGTATACTGACAGGTGGTTAAAACTATAAATTTTATTGTGTATATTTTATCATGCAAAAAGGACAGATAAAAATGCACACGGTAGTAGAGTAATTGTTGAAGAGTACAGAAAACTCTTTCAAGATGGTTTTGTTATAAAGAGCATAGAAATGGGGAAATAGCTGGTTGGGGTTGTGGAGCTAAAGACTTTTTTTTGAAAGATGGGAGTAATTATAGCATATTTGTTTGGTGATATGAGTGATCTAATAGAGAGGAAAAAATTGATATAGGCAAGAGGGGGAGAATTGCTGGCGTAATATTCTTGAGAAGAGAAGAGGGCTTGGCACCTTTTTTAGAGGTGGAAAGTCTGATGACCTCTAATGGGACAATAGGTCATTCATTCATGATAGCAGGAGAGAAAGCAATGTGTTCTTGCACCCACATAAGTGGTTTGGTAGAAAAGGTGGTAGTGGTTTTTGAAAGTTCTCTTCTGATTATTTTTTTCTTTAAATAGTTCTCTTAACTCAGAGTAAACATGGGAAAGGAGGAGAAGCTTTGAGGAAGGGGAAGAAGGTGTAAAATTGTCATCTTGGGGAGGATGAGGAGTAATTGCCTTTGAATATGTATGTTCACTAGGGACACTAAGGACCTACTACACAAAAGTGATCATGAATTTGAAGATATACCAGTCATTGTGGTTGTATATATTTTCTGGTCATATTCTGTTGCTTTAGTTAGGGTGATGG